TTGTTTTGTTGCTCTTTGTTTTGTTACTTCTCGTTGTCTTTTTTGCAACATCTTTGCTTCATTTCCTTTGCTGTGGTTGCGCATTCGCTAATTAACTGGATTATGTTAGGTTGTTGTTGTTGGTTTCACAGAGATTATGCATGCCGATTTGGAGGTATGTATATGAGTTGTATATGTATGTGCAAATGTATAGGTGTATGTTTGTGAAAATTTCTATTTTTCGCATCTGCGTCTGAAACATGCAACATTTCGTTTTTAAAGCGGACGGGTCATAACTTTTACAACACTGGAGTTCATAAGTGACTTATCGACATACATATACATGTCATTGTCACTTAAGCCATACGTAATAACAACCGTTGGTGTAATAAGCTAATTTAAAAAACTTAATGTAAAATACAATTTAAATTGTGCTTTCTGTTGGATAACAGTACATGAGATTGCTCTCAAAATAACGAAATTTCCGTACTCTGCATAGATTTCGGTATACACATTTAGGTATATACATACATAAATATATGTATGCATATTTGGTTATGGTGCAAGTAGCGAGTATACATTTGGCAGCTACAATTGGTAAAGCTTTTGTAACAGTTGTTGAATTTTTCGTAATTATTGTAATTGTGTTGTTGCTGGGTATCGCGATGAGAATTTCATGGGACCATTATCGTAATTTTTGTGTCATTCCAACCGCTGACAGAGTGACTGAGTGACTGATTTTCATTAAGCGACGTACATCACTCGAACACATACACGCAAGTCAGTGTTTACATATGTATGTATGTATGTATATGTGTGCACAATGCGCACATAACCAGTTGTCAGCCGATCCATCAGCGCACAATGGAAATGTATTGTGGCTAAATTGAGCAACAACAATAGCAAACAACGAAACGACCACTCGACAAAAGCTTGCTTAATTGAGAATTAAGAATATACAAACACCTACATATATGTACATGCATACATACATATGTACGTACGTATGTGAGTGCGCACGTGTGTGTGCTGATGTGAATTGTAATATGTCCTTTGCACTTGCTGCTCACCAGTAGCGGCCAATAGACACCGCCGTCCACCAGTCGCACCTACGACTCAGCTCTCAGCTCAGCTCTGGTCAGTTCAGCGAACGCAGAGATCATTATGAGCTTTGCCATCGTCATTACCAATAATTGTGCGCAATTGCAAAATCACACTTTGCACGACCTTTATTTGCATGTGTCGCTGCGCAAACCAAACCAAATCAATGCACACACATCCATACATACATACATGCATCTGCTAACACCCATCTCGCATGCAAAGACAACTATGTCATATACGAGCATTACAGTTGCATACTCGGATGTGCAAACACGCTGTTGTTGTTTTTGACCTTTTATTTTTTTATTGATTTGATTTTCGATTTATTAATCTTTCTGCATTTCGCAATTACTTTTTTGCTGTAATGGCATTAGCTGCCGTCAGCACCGCACCTTAGCCGCTGTCTTCACGGTGCATACGCATGTATTTCGAAGCACGTTTCGGATTATTTTATAACTATATATGTGTGTATATACTGTTGTTTATACAATATACTGTAGTATATAGAAGGCGTTGATGAGCTGGGCCACAGTGAAACCTAATGAACCATTGGCTGACCGCCCCTGTTCTATATACATATATGTACCTATAGCACCTTCAATATCTTAAATGGATAATTAGAAGAATTCACAATGGTTTGATATTGTTTAGTTATACTTTTCATTGAGATTAATGTAAGGTTACTCTGTAAGTTGAATGTGGTGAGCAACCCTCATTTATACCTGGATTATAACAACAAGTCGATACATAAATTTAGTGCTCTTCTTTTTAATTTATGCTAAATATATTTTTTCGTACATATTATATTTTAATTTTCCGCCTTTTCTTCATTTTGGCCGTTCAATGAAAACACAACCAGCCATGAAATATACGATAAACCAGAAGTTCCAGTCAGAAAGCCAACTAGACAGGAAATCGACGGACTTTTACCAATTGTAAAAAAAATTTGCCAATTGGTTGCTTTATTCCACCAGCAGAGTTGCTTCATAATTGAACTAGTATGAGACTGGTAAGTTTCTGAACAAAATCTGGCCATTTTCAACTCGTAGAAAATCGGCAGGTAAAATCTGCAAGTTGCTTTAATGGAAAGACGAAATGGAGTGTGCTTCGCACTAGATGTAAAGTAGTTTATAACTGGTTGATTTGGCTGCAGGGTTTGTGGATTGGCAGTTTGTTGCAATTGGCTAAAATTGGTTCACATTTGACCCACTTCTTGCGGAGTTTGCCACACGGCGGCATTGCACAAAACGAGGAAAAGAAAAACACGCTAGAATCGACGGCGCCGTCGTTGACAGTGGCAGTGGCACCGGCAGCAACAACAGATTTAATAGCAGAAATCAAGCCAGCATCGAGGATAGCAGATTCGCGCAAAGTGGCTTGCTAAAGTCAGCTTGGTTAAGTGGGTTGCTGGTGTTGATGTTCATGTTATTGTCGGTTGCAGCGTTTGCTTATTTGTTAAGTCCATATGTGTGTACGTACATCACTGCCAACCTGGCTTGAAATTGGACCATGCGTATGCATTAACGCATACATACATACATATGTGCATATATATGTATATATATGTACGTCGATTTTCTTCGGGTTAACTCGGCAATTCGTCCTTTTTGAACCACTTTGCAGTAACCACTGTTCCACACAAAACTTCCTTTTCGCTTGCATCCATTCGTATATACCATATATAAGTACCGGTATTCAACCGACATGCTATATACTAATTCTCTCTGTCTTCGCTCATGGCGTCCACTTCAGAATACAAGCTCATAAAATTTCCGATTTTTTCACCATTTCGTTTTTGTTGCTTTGTTGTAATATTAAACTCTTTAATAACTTTTTAACTTTGTTTATTTTTATAATTGCCGTTGCTGTTGTTTTTCGCTGTTGTTGTTGTTGTTGCACATTGCATGCTGTGCGGTGTGCTCAATCGCCAACAGGTTCCCCATTTTTGCGAACATTCGCCCTCGTCGCCCCTTCTTCACTCGTCACTCATCGGTTATTGCAGTTTAGTAAGAGTCGATGTGAGGCGGCCGACGGCTGAGCCGCACGAAGGGATGGTCAATTCAGCTGAAAAACGAGTATTTTTGCGTGCCTTTCCTTGCACTTTCTTGTTTGTTTACTTTACATTTTGATGCACCTTTTTGGACTTTGCCACATACAGACGGTTTGCATGGCTGAGTACGTGCATATATATGTACATATACAAACTCGTATGCAAGTATGTGAGATTTCTGATTATATTAATATATGCACATGCAGACAGTTATGAGAAGTGAATGTAGATATGTTAGTAAAACTCTGAGATGTATTTTGCCCAAATTTATATTCAAAGCGGCGGCAACATTTGATGAGATGCACGTTTTTATTGTAACCGCGAACCCTTCCACAGTTTTGGACCCTATCAGATCTGCGCAGTTTGGCCACACTTGGCGCATATTTCCATCTTAATTCTTAACTCATGCAAAGGTTGCAACATTTTCGTATATATGTATGTATGTATATGCATTTGTTGCCAAAAGGGTGGACAAGTATTGAGCTTTGTCAAAGCAGAAATTCAAATGCAACAACAAAATGTGTGCCAATTCCACTGAAATGAGGAATGTTAAGCAGGGTTTCAAGTTTCTGCAGCTTCTGTTGTGTTCTCGCCCCTCTTCTTCTGCGTTGACTGTTTCTTCGTTTTGGTTAGTGCATACACATACATACATACACTGTGTGGTACATATCTAAGGCAGATCGCAATGCGTTCCAACTTAATACCAGCAATCCGCTGTGTGGTAGAGACTGCATCTGTTTTAGCCTCCGACTTTGTGCTGCTGCCATTAAAATTGAATGAAATATGCGCTCGTTTGTGTGCGTTTGTTATTATTTATATGTGTATGTATGTATGTATGTATGGCCGATGCAGTTGCTTGTAAGTTAACCCAAATTTTCGGCAAGATTATGGAGAAAACAGAATACAGAAAAGAGAACGAGTGTGCTGCATTCGTTCAAATATAAATATAAACATATCGACGATTTTCTGCATAAGTGTGTGTTACCTATGCATTTATACAGACGCATATATGTACATACGTATGTATGTAATAACAAATTGAGCTTTTGGTAAAAGCGCTTAAGTAACTAAGGTATTCATGTGTATGTGTGCTAGCATGTGTGTAGGTACAAATATATTTATAGATGACACACATTTGTGGCTGAGAATCAACTCCACAAGAAAGCCCATCGAATGCAGGAAAAACGATTATCACTCGATTTCAGTTTGAGGCGGCGATTTTTCGGAAAAGGTTCGGACCACCGATTCCAGTACGGTTTAAGTCTACTTTTACGATTGCATTCAAATAGAGCATACAAAATAAGCGGCGTAAAAAATATTCCGAAAAGGCTGAAATCTTTCTCTTTATTTTGGCCGCCAGTACAAATATATTTATTGTTTATTAAACAGCAGCTAAGGAGGCTCTCTCGACGAACAAATAATGTAGGAATGTAGGTATGTATTTCAACGAGCAATTACTTTGTCCCGCATTGTGGCAGCAATTAAGGCCCAACCCAAGTGTATCACTATTTCCGCAAGTGATTCGCCTCATTCAGCAAACCACACATCTCCACATACATACAAACACACATGCAGGTATATCGACGCACAAGCAGATGTATGCATGCATGTGTGTATGTGAAGGCATAAGGCTGCAAATTGCTAATTCGCAAACGTGTATCGGCAAACAGCAAATAGAGCTATAAGCATGTGTGTGTGTATTTGCATGCAGGTATTATACAATTATACAAGTGGCAGCAATATCAACTGCACGCAAACAGGAAATAACTGAGCACATATATACAAGCAGACATATCTACATGAATAAGCATGCATGTACATATGTGTGTGTGAATATGATAATAAAATGTGAAATGTTGTTACCAACCTTGTGTTGTTGCCCAAAATGACTTTGCTCATTGTAGCCGTTGTTGTTGTTGTTGTTGTTGTCAATGACGGCAAATCCTCGTCGGAGTTTAGACTTGAATTGTGGCCGGCAAAAGGTGACTCGACAATGGCAGTCGTGTCGTAACTGCCGCGATCGGAAGTGGCGGCAATTGTTGTTGTGGTCGAAGCGCTTGGCAGATCGTCGGTGGTAGCACCTTCCTCTGCCGCTGGCAAGTGAAGTTGTAGTTGTAGACGACGATCGGTGATTGTGTGCTCCAATTGCTGCTGTGACTGTGGCTGTGGCTGCGGCTGCGGCTGCTGCTGTTGTTGTATTTGCAGTTCAATGCGGTCGGCTGGCAGCAGTGGCGTTACCTCGTGTGTTGCGAAATCGTTTGTTTGATTTGCCTCCTCAAAAGGCGCTGTTGCGGTTGCGTCTATGCCTGCGATCGTCACCGTGCCACCGTTCGTGTTCGCGCCACTTCCACTGCCAGTGCCAGTGCTAGTGCCAATGTTAGTACCAGTGTTGGCTGTTGCTGCAATTAGCGGCTTTGCAATTATCTTTGTGAAATTTCTCTTCATTAATGGCTTCTTCTTGCCGTTGGCGTCTTCCTCAAGCTGAATGATCACCGATGTCGCCGCGTGGTTTCCTGTCGCTGTCGCTGGCGCGGTCGCCGTTGTTGTGCTGGTTGCCGTCGCACCGAAACTGTTCAGCAAGCGTTCGTGTTGCAACTGTTGTTGTCGCTTTCCCGTGCTATTCGTATTCAACTTATTTGTCCTGCAGCCGTTTTCGCTGCCGCTTTGGCTCTTTTGTTGGCTTTCTCTGCTTCTTGTTCTCATTTGCTGTTGCGGTTGCTGTTGTTGCAATTGATGGCAGTACTGTTTATTGTTTAGTTGCACTTCCTTTGGGGCTGCCTGCAATTTTGCATCTAAAAGCACGCTGGAATCAGCTGCTCCGTAAACGATCGATGCTGTTGTTGTTGCACCGCTTTTGAGTTCCTTTGTTGATGGTTTCTTTGACGATTTGGTTGTTGCATCAACTGCATTCAAAGTGGGCAGTATTTCAGCCGCTGCCTCGATGTCGGTCGTAAATGGTGTTGTTGTATTTATAATTGCCACCGAGTCCTGTGGCGATACCTGTTGTTGTTGCGTTGTCGCTTGTTGTTGCTGTGCGGTCGGTGACGTTCCGCTTTCTGGGATGATTGTTGCAAAAATTTGTTCGCCGAATATAAAGAGATCTTTGGAAATAATCATTATAACACCTTTGTTGCTGTGCGGCGTATACACTTTTGGGGCTGGCGTGATTACGTCTATACTTTTTTTGCTGTGCCACAAATTTACGGTTTATTTTCACTTTAAAGAAGGGAAAACCTCATTATGTCTCTAAGTAGAAGAACCACCCACTTATAGACAATCAGACTTATGCTGGTTTGTATATACTTAAATTCTGTGATTTATATTTTTCTTCAACTTTGCTTGGTTCATGTACATAAGTATGTGACTATGTTTGTAGGAATATATTGTTCCAAAAGGAGCAAAATAAATTTCAAGCTATTTCTAGTTTTACATTTATTCAGAAATAAATGAGGTTTATAAGTATACATATGTATATACCAAATATTAGGTATGCTCCTCTTAACTGTTTGAAGATAGCCCACACAGCTGACACTATTAGCTTATATAACTCATTTTAGATAAATCTCCTAGTCGTAATTTTTTGCTGTAATAGCTCCTGGAAAAAGCGTGCGTATAATCAAATATAAGTACGCATATTTATATACATATGCATCTGTATAAAGACATATGTATGATTTTCAACATATTTCGTTATTTCTTATTTCACATCGCTTTTAGAGGTAGTTGAGCTTTTACTTTTTTAAAAAAGTCTCCTCTTCTAAAAACCTTGTAGAACATATGTATGTATGAATTTACATTACACTTTTTGGAATGTATATATGTACATATATGAGGGCCTATGTGCATTGAGAAATATAGAAGGGACTAATATTTATTGAACTCGCTGACACCTAAGTATATAGTATAAACGCATATAAAATATCATATACATACAATTAGCCTACATGCATGCCATGTAAGTATATATGTATATATGTATGCATATATGTAGGTATGTACATAAACGCATTGGTTCTGAAAACACGTTAAACGCACCGTTAATTTTTTTGTTGCAGGAATTTCACACATAGCTCACTGTCCACAGCTGACATATTTTTGTCACATACACTCACATATGTATATACATATATGTATGTATGTAAGTATTTTTCACGTTTTTCTGTAATATATTTCACTATATATTTTTATTATTATTTGAATTTCTCTCTATTTTGAACATTTACACTTTCTTCGGATGCATTTTTCAGTTTTTTTCTTTCGTTTTTCTTCTCTTTTGTTACACTTATGCGCTCACAATTATTTCCACATCGAATTTTTTATATCTATACCGCCTTGTAATCTTTTTGTATCAACAATGGCAAACAAGCAAAATGTGTGTTGGAGCAAAATAAACAAAGATAAAAACAACCAACAAAGAGAATTAAAGTATTCCACCGGAAAATCAAGTGAGACAAAACGATTTCCCGATCTGTGGAGGTGTGTTCGTATGCACTTAGATATTTTTAGTTATTTACAATTCTTTCGTTCAATCTGCGATTATTCTTCTTTTGTTTCTGATTCTGATCGATATTTGTTGTTATTGAATATTCGTATGCAAGTGTTGTTATTGTTATGTACTAGGTACTTGCGGTGCTATTGATTTAAACGCGTCGTGCCACCGAGCTGATCGTGATCTCAACTGATCTGGTCTTTCGTCGTCAAAGACCACTGAACGTCTGTATGCTTTGAATTTAAATCAAGCCCTGGCACATCGGCCAGTCAGTGAGCCATGGGCACTGGCTGATTTCGCCGTCGCCCGGCATGCTCCCTCTGTCGATCAGTGCGCTTTGGAGCCCAGCGCTGTCGCTCTTACAGGGGATATTTGCGCGCTCTTATCTTACATTTACAGGCGATTCTCTCCCACCAATCCACCAATACACTGACACTCTGCTGTTGGAGCGCTTTTCGAAAATATCTCCCGCGTTTTTAGCGTTTTATGACAGGCCACACATTCGCACTTGATTTCAACAAACACACATACATATATATAGTTATATACCAGCCGCATGAACACAGGTGTATGTGCGCGGATGCGCACGAAAATATGTATCCAGCGACATATAAGTATGTATGTATGTATGCAAATATATATGCTATGCGTTTGATATGTACATATGCGTATATATAAATAAATACATAATTTTTACATATACATACATACATGCAAATATACAAATATAATATATGCATACCCGAGTACGTATGGACGTAGTTTGCAGCGCCGCTTTGCTATTTGCCGGTGATACATATAAACATAGAGACATTTGAATGCAGAGTATATACGCTCACGCAAATTACATTAAGCGCAACTGCATGCTCTTGAAACTGCATTTAAGCGTCGCTCTCAGATTTGAAATCTGGCTTGAGCTCTACAATTCGATAATCGGAAGCGTGCAGGAAATACTGAAAATTTATTTACTTTCCCATTGTGGTGGATTTAAGAGTGACTAACTCTCTTAGAGATAAATGAGAGTAAGATAGGGAGGTAAATTAAGAGCAATTGACATAACGCACTTCCTATTTGAGCTGATGTTACCAAAAGCTGGTTTCTATTTCCTGTTGATCGTAAAACTGCTTTGGGCAAAGGGGTGCGAAAATTTGGAAAGAAAAGGTAACAAAAGAAGCTTGAATTCATTAGAAACTTGTTTGGTGCATATGCCAATATTTATATTGCACAGTGCGTATTTGAAAATATTTGCCTGCGCGGAGCGGGAAAAAAGTTCCCGAATAAGGGTTGGCGTTTCAAGCCTTTTCGGCGTGAAAGCTTTCGCACGTGTTGAAGAACCGGTTCTCAGGTATTGTTAGGCAAATTTTGCAAAGCAGAAAATTAAAATAATAATGTATGCACATATGTATACCAAACATATATATGCATACACATATGCGTGTGTGAAACTTCAAATTTCGTGAATCTAGAATCCATTAACCAAAAAAAAAAACAAAAAAAATAAATACAAAGACCTTTATATTAATAATATGAAATTCCCCCCTATGACTTAGTCCTCAGCTGTGTTTAATGAACAAAAACTTCCACCGCTAAGCAAAATATTTTAATTTCCGGTACCGAACTTTGAACCATGAATCTTTTCTGCGTTATTGTTTGCCAAACAGATAGACAAATTCATCATCTCTTCGGTGTTAAAGCCATGCATTCTCATGCCAATCGAAGCAGGAAATGCATCACAGCACTCGAATCGCACTCTTTCATTTGTCACTTAATTCAAATACATATATATGTACACAGGCATGTAAATTCGCACTTCGGTTAAACTTCATGTTAATTGCGTTAATTTTTATTTTTACTCGAGCAAACTTAAAACATTTTACGCACCTCAACTTCGCAAAGCACTCATATGCGATTCTAGTTATCGACGTCTATTGGAGATCAACTAATTCACTAAAACAATTTTTTACGTTCTGGTCGCTTAAAATAGTGCCACGGCTTATATAACAGATTTACGCGCGAGATATGAATGTAAATTTTTGCCATCGAGTTTTTAACTTAAGATAACACTCATAGTTTTTATGTGCAAAGCCGCATAAGCATGTTTATGGGTGTGTGCCTGTGTAGGTGCTTAATTAGATTTTGCACGCTCATTTAAAGTTAACTACAAGTATATTTACCGTTGCATGGCACATTTGGGTGTTAAAGTCAATGGAGTACTTATATTTTGCTATATGCTACAAGCGATTTCAGCGAATGAGTACTGAGGCCATCAAATACTTCACCAACACACTCACAAACCCTAATGCTCCCTGCCACCTCGCCCAGAAGCCTGTTGCAGTTATTTATGAGGTTCCGCCTTCATTAGTTACGTGTCGTCAATATTTGACGCATGCACACATTTTTTAAATAAATTCTTAACAGACACAAAAACAGACAACAACAAAAGGGGCGCCAAAGCCACGATAACAATGGACTCTATTGCTGCAAATGAAATTGCAAATGTAAATAAATGCAAATTTCGTTAGATGCCCAGCTATTGCGCTCGAATCATTGAAATCGCGGTTGTTGTTATTGTTATATTACTTTCAGCTCACCAAAGAGGCCGCCGGCCAGTGCGACGATTGTGGAATAAATTTTCGTGGAGATCGCAGGTTCGGTGGCAATGACTTTCCGGCGATCATGCGCATTTGTTTGATGCACATCAGTGTGGGGGAGAGAGGTGAGTGGTATTGGGGACAATCCGGATATGTGTTTTGGGTATTTTGGGAGGAAGCATCTTTAGACGGATATCATATAAGTTTAAGATGCTTCCACTTATTTAAGGGAAACATTTACATGTGCTCACGACGTCCGGGTCAGCTTACCATCCTAGAGACATGAAGCACAAAATTCCATCTGGGCTACGAAACAGCAAGAATAGAGAAGAAGGGCGCAATAAGTGGGTTTTGTATGATATTTGTTGATAAAGTCGGGATGAACTGTTTGTCAATGTGAGTAACTACGGATTATATGTACACACATATGTAATTACATTTGTATGTGTTTATACTAATTCACTGGATACTGCTGGATCTTGAGTTGCGTGCCACCAAATGTAACAGTAACGATGATTTTCAAATGTTTTTTATGGACTTTTGTGCTTGGTGTCTGTTTTTGGTGGAAAACGAAAACAAATGAAGCGAAATAAGTAATTCTATGCAAACTTATGTGTGTATGTCGTTGTGTACATCTCATAAATTTTATGAGCATGAATAAAATTCACTCTTATCACTGCGACACTGGCGAGTGTATGCGTGCGTCAGTGGAATGTGCGTGACATTGTGAAATGATTTTACCATAAAAACGCTATTCTTGCGATTCGAACACCGACATATTTACATACAAACAAACCCACGCACATTGACATGCAGTTCGCGCTCAGCAACTCTCCCACCGGCAGCTGCGCGCTTGTCGCGCTCTTCAACAGCAGCAACGAGCGCTAGGTGTGTGTGTATCTGTGTCTTCTTGCGGTGCGTTAGTGCTCTGTTGTGCGGTCGCGCCGGCGGTGGGGGTCTAGTACCGTTCGACTAACACGTTGCGTATACGCAGAAAGCCACAATCAAATCGCTCTGCACAAACACATACCTAGATACGTATGTATGTATGTGTGGATGTGCGTGCGTAGATGCGTAAACTTTTTGTAGCGTTGCGCGCACACATTTTCTTGAAATTCACTTATTATTTTTGTGAAACTCTTCAATTTCTATTTGGTTTCGCCATTTGGCGATTCTATTTATTTTCATTTTTTGCAACATTCTGATAAGGCGCCGCAAGCCAAACGCTTTTTTGATGACCGGTGTTATTTTTACACCTATATACATACATATATACCTAAGCCAATACATACATACGTATACATACATATATACGTATGTATATCTGTACCCATACCTATGGAATATCTGTCTACACATTGTATGTATGTATGTATGCAATTAAATTCACATGTGCGTATGGCTGTTTGTGGATTCGCAGTTGTCGCACTTGTTGAACTTGAAATTTCGAAGCCATGCGTATTCAGCAATTTGCTGTTGTTATTGCATGAACTGATATGCGAATTATTATTGCCGCTCTTATTAGCTGCGGCAAAGGCAAACGCTATATTTACCATACGAATCGTACGACTTGACGCTGTTTAGTGTACGGTAATAGTAACTGAAATTAAGTAATCACCAATCCCTGCGCGTACATACATATGTATGTATGTATATGTGTAGGTATTTATTTACATACATATTTATATATGATTTCTGTACACAATATTTTAATGGATTTTATACATACAAGTATGTATATACCTTATACAACTGCACCTACATATGTGCATTATTTATGTGTGTTTTTTATTATATACATATGCACATACATATACACTACTGGGATCAATGATCGCTTTGTGCCGATGTACATACATACATACTACATATGTATTAATATATGCAGCGGTTGATCTTTATCGCCCATAGCCGCTTATCAGACGAAATCGTACAGTGACCTCGAAGGAACAAAAGCGAAAACAAAAGTTTCGCAAAAAATCGCTATAAGCTATAACACATACATACATATATGTATATGTATTTATTTAGGTGTTTCACATGACTACATACACATGTATGTTTGTATATACTTGCTTGTTTGTTTGTAGATGTAGCTAGATACATTCACATGCTTGAAGAATATTTACAAACATTTTTCTACGAAAAAACAATAAACTAAGATTTTTGCCGCACGTATATGTATATGTACGTACCACACATATTAATTGTTTGTATGTATATTGAATGTGGAAAACTTGTGCTAATAAGTATTTATTTTTTGATTCGCACCGTTCAGTGGCATGTAGGATCCTCCTCCAGTTGTTGTATCACATCCCATAGGCAGAGCAGCTCGGCCAAGCATCTAGCAGACGTGCGTATATATGTATGTATGTACATCACATTGTAGATTTATGTTTATGTTGAGAATTTTCAGCATTGGCATGACCACTGTTCAACACTAGCGAAATCTGTGGCATACATTTAGGCTGCGCCGCCAAAAAAAAAGAATTAGGAGAATTGATTCCAAATGATAAACAAAACTAACTTTATTTGCATAATTAAAGATTTTCAGTGTATTTTTTTTATTGAATTTTCCACAATTGAGTTCCATTGACAATATTTGTATAAATTTGAATTTGTTCAAACACTTAAATTTACGCGTTCGTAAGCTGCCGTTGCGTATTGCAAATTTATTGCTATTGGCCAAGTCGCTTATATTTACTTACATATGTAACTGTTTTAGCTAGGCTGCGCTCACACCACTATCTGCTAAAGTTGCGGGGCAACAGTAATTTATTTTTAAATTTATAATTACGGTTCTTTACTAACTAAATATTTCCGGCTAGCCTCCTAAATGATTTTGTCTCTTTCATTTGCATGTATTAATCATTATTTAATGGAACTTCAAAATATTCGTTACAAAAATATATATACTAAAATATTACAAATATATGCGTACTAACACTTATGATGATCCAAACAAATAGTCGCGTGCAAAAATATTTCGTTCAAGCACACGTACATATGCATGAATATACATATGTACATATATGATTTTCCATTCTATTGCTTTGTCTATTCTTTGCACAATGGAATTTTTCAGTTGTGTGCCGGATTGCCTGGCTTTATTATTGCTTGCTTGGGAATTGAAAAGCTTCGAAAATTAAAAACGAAGCTCAAATCACTCATAAAAAATTGCTCTTGCAGCAACAATAAAACCATGCGCATTGTAACCCATTAGACGCTGCTTAAATTTCTACAATGTTGTTTCAACAATAAATCTGCTCACGATGCTTGGCAAATAATAGCTTAGGCTTACATTATACTACAATAATACAAATACAACGGTACATTTTGGATATATATATATATATATATATAATATATATGTACATACAAAATCTTTATAATATATTCAATTTGTAAATTGGTATTTTTAACTAAACTAAAGTCTAAGCAACAAATCGCACTTTATCTTCATAATTATGTATAAGCTATTTTTAAATAAAACTAAATAGACAAAATTAGCTTAGCAAACATGATATGCCAGCGAAAAGAAAAACAAACCGTTGGAAATATGCAACAAAATAATTGAAATTTATATACAAATATATAAAAAAACTAACGGGAATCTAGTGGCAGTTGGCTTCGCTCAGCGAGAAGACAACTTTTTGTGACATTGCTCCGAGCGTCGCATGCCTCTTCTTTCGTGTTCTGCTATAAAATCCGATTTCTGTCCGATCAAATTTATGCCAATAACCGAAACGAAACCAAGCAATTGGAAGCATTTATTCTGAATGAGTTCGGTTTAATTTAATCACTTTCTCTTTCTCTTTTGTTTTACTTGTTAGCGCTAACTTATGCAATTTTTGTCTCTCTGTGCAATCAATCACAGCACAATTTAGTTAGAAGGCTTTAACGAAATATGAGAGCGGCCAATGTACGTTCAGTCTGAAATGATATGTAAAAACCGATAATTTGTTGGTAAGTCAATTGGTCGAAATAAATTAAAAAACTAGAAGAAAGCGTAAATTTGTTATTAAAACGAATAAAACAATTACAACATAGAGCAATTATTTAGTGTCGTCTACAGTTATAGTTTGTTTAAATGGCAAGAGAGAAGTGTGCTCAGCGCGAGTTGTTACTATAGCTTTTTTTCTAATTGAGTACAGTTTCTTTAAATGTCCTATGAATCACAAATAAATTTGTTGTCATTCTTGACTATAACTAATTTGGGAAGCGCTTGCATCGAAGAACTCTAAGTGGATTGTGAACTTAGGTTATGTTATGAACGATACAATTAACAGATGTACACACACATACATACTTATATCAGTGCTTTATAGGATAGTCATCAGTTAATTTACTACATTTAAATTTTTATGTTATAATGAGTCTTAATGCATAACTCTTAAAAGCTTAACCATTATTAGTTACGGGGGTATGGCGTTATAAATATGCGTATGCATTTGTTTTGTGGTTAACTGTTATAAAAATTACTCTTTATTGACGTGAAACTCCCTTCAACGAATTTGCTCAATGGTCATGTGCATGCAACTGCCATTTCAGTTGAGTGTGAGTTTAAAACTAGAGCTCCTCATGGATCTTATCGATCTGTTGTGTTAGTTTATCATTCTTGTAAATAAATTCGCACACGGCGCTCACCTTTTTCAGCAATTCGATGGCAGTTTGCAACACTTTGTGCCACTTTTTTAGCTCCGCCTCATGCAAGATCTCCTGCTGACGCAACAACTCCACCCACTCTTCATTCGAATTCGGTAATTCTCTGGCGGAGGAGAGAAAATAATGTGAAACGCTATCACTTGAATGATACAAAACTTACCTCAAAGCAGCCAAATTCGGTAAACGCGCCCTATTGCCTATATCGTCGTCAATGCGCTCTTCCAGTGCCCACAGCTTGAGTAGGAGTATTACATTTAGAGCGATTAAGAAAAACAATAAGGCAATCACAAACACCGACAGCCACTTATGTTTGTTTTGTGGTTCTGTTTCGACTGGGGATTGCTGTGCAGCGACTAGGGGTAGCCGCGGAACGTTGCGTCGACTGGTGGCCGTTGCCACTTCAACTGCTTCGCTTTTGGTCTGTGTTTCGGGCACATCCTCCGTGGGACGCGCTTGGGCTGCAGTACCTTTAAAGAAGTAAGAGAAAACGAAGAAAGGATATGATGAGGAACTGACAGAGGATATTTTCATCATGCGCAGGTGAATTTCGATACAAACACAGTATGTGCAAGTGTGTGTAATGTATGCATGTTTAAAATAAAATAAATATTTGTGTCTACAATTAAAACTACACTGTACACAACGCAGGCCACCAACTCTATCCAGAAACCATGTCCGTGTTTTTTTTTTATTAACAACCGTTCAAAAGCATAACTGCAAGTGGAGTTGCACAGCTTATTATTTTCAAAAACCAAAACAACGAAAATAGTTACTAAAACAAACTTATCGACCTCATAATTCTCGAACGGCTATAAATTCAGTGTAACATTTCATTGGCTTGGAGTGAAAAGGTGCCGAGTCCACTTTTATGCGAGAGAAGCAAGAGCAAAACTCCACCGTTACTTTTCTGTAGCCCTACATTGTTGTACGCGAAGTTGAGAGCTTTTAATCGAATTATTTCTCTTAAAATTTGAAAAAATGGACTTGGCACGTTTAGGCTCAAAGCCAACGATTTATAAGTCTGTGTATTGAGTAAGAAGCCAAATTGACATTAAGTCTACTTCATGCAGGGGGAGTTCATGTTAAGGATAGTCTACCGGAGGCTCTGCAATTATACCTTCATTGCTATTAGAAATCACAATTTCCTTATGCACTTGTAAGACTTTGTGAATTGAGTTTTGTAGTTGTCGGTTGCTAATTTCGTATTTATGGTTATCGAGCCAAGGATATTGACAAAGCACTGGGTGATGGTTGTGATGGTGGCCGAAGTGTTGCTGATGTGGATGTTTAGCATCAACACCTTCAACACTCTTAATGCAATGGTGATGGTTGTGTTGTTGATGTGGGCTGTTGCTTTGTCGTTTGTAACTGTTAGTGACGGTGGTGGTGTTCACAGTACTAGAGGGGGACCTTGTGGTGAACGTGAGTTTTGCAGTTGGAATAGAAGCGATAGAAGTTGTGGCGGTGATAGTGGTAGCAGTGGCAATGGCAGTATCAAAAAAGGTGGTGGCATCAATTGTCGAAACGGCAGTTTTATTATACGAATATTGATCAATTTTGTCGTGAACAGTGACATTAGTAGTGGTGATTGTTAGTTTGTAGTGCTTACCGCGGCGTGGGCGCCGTCCTTTTGCCTTGGCGGGTGGTATGCAGGTTTCACTTTGCAACGCTTGCTGCATGGCGTTAAAGTACTCCTCCAAACCGGCCCATGTGTTCTTCTCTATAAAGCCCTTAACGACACCCCAAATGGATTTTTTGTATTTAATTTGCGCATGAACAGACAACATTGTATGGTCATCCACGGTTCTGTAAACGTTCGATAAATGCTTTATTGAAAGGATCAACGCATTTTGATGTCTAATTTCGGAGCTGAATTTACCTTACGAAGCAGTAATGCATTAAAACGCTAAAACTATCTGCATATGGAATGCCAGCGTTAACACTAGTTATATCTATGGAATACAGTTCACCGGGTTTGCTGCAGTCGCGTATTTCCTGCGTCTCGGTCACCTGCAAGTTAGAAACAGCCAAAACACATAAAACCGGGTTAGTAAACGCCTATCTGCGAATGCTATTTAGTATTTCATATACCCTGGCTGTTTTTGGTCCCACGGAAGCTAATAACTGCACTGTTAAGCTTACGGCGCGCGTTTTCTTGCCGTCCTCATCAGTTAGCCATTCGCCGAAAGACATATTCTCGGTTTTGCGCATAGCATGGAAATCCACTAGGAATTTGGATTTTGAGAAGAGCAAGTTGAACAGCGTATCTACATTAATGGGAAGTATTGTGTGTACTAATTGACGGCCTTCATGTGCTGATGTGCATTCCGCCGTTGCAACAAAACTGAAATATAATCATTTGTAAAGTCAATTTCAATTGGCAATGCAGATTCGAAAAATAAACTTACGGAGCTTTATTCTCTTCAGAGTCACTGGAACCAGAGACATCTGTAGGCAAATTGGTTTGATTATTGCTTGCCGCCTCATCACGGACGCGCGTACTTTTTGAAACTTTGCGCTTTTCATGCGGTTGTGGTTTAAGTGTTGAACTTTTCGTCTCTTTACTGGCGCCGCTGCTACTTTCATTCGCATTATAACTGCCCGTCTTACACTTGGCAGTATCATCTTCCGGCTTCACCGAAGTCAATGTTAATTCCTTCGCGTTCATTATGGTTTTCGAAACGCTTTCGCGTTCGCGTTCGCGTTCGCGTATGTTATTGTCACTTGTTTTGTTATCCGAACCGCTTGCCGACGTTGTGGTCGAAGAGTTCGCAATCGATTTATTCGAATTGAAAAAGTATGACTTGGTTTTTGATTTGCTGCCAACGCCACCGCCGCCACTACTTGTGCTGGAGCTATTACCCCCGCTATTGTTCACGTTTTGAGTTGAATGTGCTGTGTTGTAGTCACTTGTGAGGGTTGAGCTAACAATAGAAGTTGCGTCTTCTAGTGCTGATGCATAATCGATATCACCTTCGTTCTCTGTTTGTACTGTGGTTGGATCAATGTAATCTTCTTCGTCGTCTGTGGTCAAACCTAGTTCATCGCCGTAACAATTATGCACCCATTGCCATATTTCTTGCGGCAGCATTTGCTTGTTCATCAACGTATTCTGCCATACTCGAAAGAGCATCAAAAACGCCTTGTCACGTGTTGTGAATGTGGCAAAGAAGTACTTCTCCTTAGCAGTACAAATCAAAATGGCATTTGGTATGACAAGAGCAGTTTTCTCCTTTGTTATTGATGTGACATCCTTCCATCGTATGGTTAAATAAGTTTCCCATCGGAATATATTAGCATGAAAACAAACATAATTCTGTGAGACATACAAGCGTCCCTGCACTAGAATGTCGCGCTGCAGTGCGCACGAGTAATCTAAAAAAAATCAGAAGCATGATTACTATAATTATCGATTTCAGATCTGGGTTTAGTTTTTTACGCACCAACAATAAGACGCTCTTCGCACGGTACCTCTTTGAAGAGCTTTTTGAAATCTTCTGCGCGTGATTTGTAATTCGGATAAAGGACGTTGTACCAAGACTTCTTTTTGGCTCGTTCCGAAAGCCGAGAGCCGCTTTTTGGTTTATCAACAGCACTCGAATCTTCAAATATACCACGCACTAGCTCACCAGAAGTATCGCTTGACTTGCTGATGGTGTCCTAAAACGAGACCAAATATGAAATGTCAGTAAGGAGTCTAATGTGCATATACTCGTATACTATGTCAGTATTGGGAATGCATAATCTAATAAAGGGGGGTTTCGGGAACAGAGCCGGTGGTGAATACCCGTCTAACAACTAAATGGCGTTATAAATTATAACATACGACGTATCACTGGTGTTTATTTGTTCAAATGAAATTAAACTGCTATGTTATCTCTCCATATTTACCGATAAAGGTTAATAGCATGTGAAGATAAAAAATAATATAATTCACAAGTTAAAAAAGCATACAAGCAACTTACCTTCAAATACTTTTGCAAATATTATTGAACTAATTATTTAATTAATTTTTGCTCAAACTCATTTGGGTTTGAGGATATGCCACTGATAAGCATATATAATTGATATAAGACGATATGAACCAAAGGAATCGAATGAGGCAATTCACAAAGAAAATGTCAAATTCATAATAAACACAAAGCAAATCGCGACCATATGTTAGCTTTACTTCACCACAACCGCCTGAAAATGACTGCCGACTTTAAAAAAGAAACATTTGGTTTGTCGCTCTTTTGGCCTCAACTAAGGGATATCAATTCACATATTACCAATGCCAATGCCAGAACTGATAAGTCCGCTCTCTAATGATACCATTAGCAAAACTAACGAAAGCTGGCCATTCGCATGCTCTGCGCGATGACTGAAACTAGCAAGCACATTGAGGCACGCAGCTGTTGATCGCAGTTCTTGATTATAACTTCTGTATGTTTGTCATAGATAAGACGCTCTACAAGTTGCTATTAAATTTATATTACTAAAAGGAATGGTAAAAATATTATTGTTTTCAGAAAAAGTTATGTTTGTGCATTTGCAAAAAGCAAACTGTAATAAAGTAAATCGAAACTAAATGTATATATTTCTTATCAGCGAAAGCTCCAAACCTTAGAACTTAAAAATTTGAGATAAATACATTGCTAGGTTCAAATTCACAAAGAGCTTTTACTATACTTTAGCAGCACAAGGTTAGATTACTTTTTTGGAAAAATACTCTGCAATTCATTTTGCCACAAGGCATTTAGTTGATTTGAACACTCGCTACCTCGCTGTCTAAAATGTATTGAATGAGTTGACGAATGCCTAAGATCATTTGCATAAATTCATCAGCTAACAAGCAGATCTGACATGATAAATAAGAGGAAATGCAAAAAAAAAAAACGAAGTTCAAGTTTACCTGTTTAAGCTGACATGTTAATTGTTCACAGACTGCGGACATTAGCATCAAACTCATCACCACACCCATAATGTCTGCTAGCGATGCTAAGCGTTATTCTAAATATGCAACTGCGAATGTAATATTTCGAAGAAAATAAAAAACTCTGTACGCACCGTCCAATTCAACCTACGCACGCAGCAAGTACGCGAACGCTTCTGTCATAACTATAGACAAGGGTTTACACAAGTTTACTAAACTCACCTCATCAGGGCGGCTGCCGCTAAGTGCTCCCAGCGAACTCTGCAAGCTATTGGATAATTTTGAAAACGATGGTGTTTTCGGTAATTTACTTTTTCCTAAAACAATTGAATTATCTCGACTTAGTGAACTTTCTCCGCTATTAGACGCCTTAGGCAATAATCCATCCAATGTGGTTCCACTCGCTGAGTCTTGATTTTCCTTTTCGGTTTTGTCAGTGTCGCTGAGTACGCATTCAAGTGTTTCCGACACTGCTGAGAATTTAACGGTGCTCTGTATGTATTTGTTAGTCCCAGTTGGGACCAAATTTGAGTCAGACGTAGAAGAGTTGGGGACGTCAACAGCTGTCTCTATTTTAACTGTAGTAGATGAGAACGTATTATTCGCCAATTTCAAATCGCCGCCTCCAAGTTCCTGAACATCACTAGAAACTATAGTGGCTGCGTCGCTATCAGTTTTAGTATTATCAGTGTTTATTGGCTTAGTTTCTTCGGCCCCCTCTTTAATTGGTTTTAGTTTATTGACCTGTGCTGCACCAATTTCATCGGCGATGGAAGATTTCCTGCGAAAAACAATGGATATAATTTAAGTCTTTATATGAAATATTCTTAAGATAAAACAAGTAGTGCAAAATATTAAATCGAAAACAGTGCATGCAGAATTTCACAAGTATGCAAATGAAAGGTGAGTGCAATATTAAAAGTTATATTTAAAAGGTTTCGTTACGAAATGCGTACATATTTGTGATTTCATTACAGCGGAGGAGCAAAGTAACTCTAATTTCAACCAAATGCGAATACCTACCTGTTGGGACCACAACAAATATTTTTTTCTTCCTTTTCTTCATCTTTTTCCTCAGCGTTCGCATGAGTTGATATGCTCTCAATATTTTTTATCCTACAAGAATTTACAGTAAAAAAAAACAATAAAATAAAAATAAAAATTCAAAATGAAAAATTATAAATATGTAAAATACAATGTCAATTATAAACTAATTGTAAGTAAGGTAGGTAAAAGAAAACATTTAAATTCACAAGCAAATAACACAAAGAGCTGATTAATATTGAGAGCTACATATGTTTGTACACCACAGCACTTGCAAGGTTTATACAGCATATCAGGTTATTATTCATAACTCCGATTGAATTTTACCAAATCACATAATAATCCACACGCCTAGACATGCCAAAGCAAATGTGACTCTGAAATTTATGGATTTTTGATTGCAAAAGCTATAAATAAATACGCGTATTGAACAAATGTGTCTATTCAACCAACAACAAGGTTAGACTAACTCTTGTGCAGAAACTTTGCAAAAACCCAAAGGTTTGCGTGTAAGCAGGAAAAGCCAAGTGATGGAATCTATCATAGTGGTCATAAATATATGGATTTGCTTATCGAATTTCTATTAACTCATTTATACAGAGATAGTGGCAGTAACATTCTGATAAATTGGAACCACTAAAAATATTTCTAAGGTCATAGATCTAATAGTAAAGAAATAAAGAAATTGTAACAATGATCAATCGAACATTTGATCAACATATCACTTGACTACAATACGTTCATAATTAGTGAAATTAGATTTAACAGCAACTAATGCATTATTGCTAAAATAGTTTTAGTTATTATTGGCATAATTGTTGCTAAATAACACAATTGGCATGAATTTGAGAATGTGTTTAGACTGTATAAGGGGTCGCGATTAGAATCTCAAATGTATAGGTTGGTATATTAATGTGTAGTTTTATTGCAAGATAACAAAATACTTATTTATGTACGGTATATATGTATATATGTATGTAGTTATCAACAAATGATTGAATGCATTTTAGCTATACGCATATAATACTGTCCCAACCTTAATAAACCAACACAATTTGTTTATTTACTTCCACGTTCTACAATACCATGCTAAAAAGTCAAACATTAAGAACATTTACGGTGGATTTATGTTAGCTCTAGAAAGATAAAAAAGTGGCTCGAAAATTGAAGCAATATTTCACACGTCATTAAATGACGCTGAGTAGAAATATCACCTGCTTAAATTAAGTTTGCAAAACGTACATAAATAAAACTTGTCCCCTCAACACGGGTATCACACACTGCTGCTAATAATAAACTATTCTTTATATGGGCAGACTTGCGGAAAATCAATATTTTACATATTTGGCGTACACTTGTTTTCTCATATGTTTTCCAGGACATCCAACAGCTGTGCGCTCTTATATATTTATTATTTGTAATATCACTTGATTGAAGATTCTACTGCAAAATTCACTTTACCAACATTCAGGTATTTGAAATAATCATGCAAACCTACTAACATTTCATTAAATAAATTAATTAATAGCCTTGGTTAATAAGAGTACATTTAGCTATGAACGAATGATTAAAGTCCGCGAATGTGGGTATAAATCTATGAGCAGTGGGTGATCAAATGCTCTAACTGCTGCGGTCTCGGTTGAAACAGTCTGTGTAGAGAAGAGCGGAGCAAAGCGGTTAACATGACGTACGCTATTAGAAAAAGGCAACACGACGATTGAATCAAAAATAATAGCAACAATTATAAACTTAGTAGATACGATGGTAAAATGTCACATTCAAAAGAATTGCGAGCAGAAACTTAGCGTAAGTTACTATTATCGTTTTCTGTTTCATTTTCGATTTTACATCTATAATTTATGCCAAATGTTTCACATAATTTGAAGAAGTTTTTGTATCGCACGTACATGCCCGTTGTAATAAACAAATGTGTGTGAATTAACTCTCTATAACATTGTATATGATCTTGATTCAATCACGAACTACGTTTATTCTTATATGTATGTAAGTATGTTTCAGACATTTTTTCTAGGTGTTGGTCTACTTAATAACAAAAATAATTGCATGCAAGCCCTACAGAAATTCCAATATGACACCTTTTACTCTATAATGGATAAAAACTAAAAGTCTTCTAGTTCGTTTTCGGGTTTGACACTACATGCTTGTTTCTTAACAAGGTTTGCAAATGGTGTAATTTCAATTAGAAGCTAGGTACTAATTATATTAACTAGATTATGAGAAAACAGCGATTATGTTAATGTAAAGAACATGCTAAGTATATTAAATTATATTATGTATTGAAAACCAAATTTGGAATAGCTTAGTAACAATCAAATGAGCTTAAAACATCAAGTAAAGGTATAACTTACATCAGCGTTTGATGAGCCGGCGCCGCAGCGGAAGTAATTTTTTGGACCCTTCCTAATCTTGGGGGTGGTGTTGGCCTACTTTTCCTTAAGTCTGTATATTCAAGAGCACTTGTAATTATAGATGAGTCCTGGTTTGCAACGTTGCCTCTATGATCTATTAAGGGGTTTTCTAAAATTGGGGACGATGATGCTGAAGTGAAGGGCGCTGGCTCCGTACTATTAATTGGTGTAGTTGTTGTAGATTGTTGTCTTTTTGTACTGGCACAACTCATGACAATCCAAGCTTCACCCAGTTAATATCACAGCGATTCAGCGCTACACCTTTGATTATGTATTCTCAGACAGTAAGTCTATCTTAAAATTTCTTTAATCCTTACACATTTTAAGGAACATTTCGTAATTTTTCACATTACTAGCGAGCTGATTTTTGGCTTTTCAATACTGATTTTCAGCTGCGAATGCTACTTTCTCAAAGGTTGAATTGCAGGTTTCTGTATATCTGGATTGCCATATAGCGGGTCAGCAGTTTAAATTACACTAATTCTTCTTTTATTAGCTATTGCACATGATATTAAAATATTCTTAAGACGCACAGAAATAGTATCTTTAAATCATTAATAATTATAATCTCCGCACTACGAAACACTTTTGATGCAAAGATTTCTGCCACTTTTTCATTTCTGCGATGTTTTTTTGTATTTTATTTATTTATTTTTTTTTTAGACGAATTGGTTTCCTATGAAACTGGGTTGCATGTGGGCTTAAATTATTTAAGCATTTTCTTAAAAATAAGTCATAAATATTTTCCAAACTTTTGTATTTTCTGTGACATGCCTATTTATCCAACTAAATTATAATTAATTAATAAATAATTTCATGGCATTTAAGTGTTAGTGTTTAAAAAAGACAAGGTTTATCTGAAAAGTTTAAGGAATGAGTGACTAATTTTTACTATGTATCACCTGTTTTTTTCGCTTATGTAACTCTCTCATTCGTAAATAAAAGAAGTCAAGTAAAGAGTAGAGACTTCTGACAATTATGAGAGAACGTCAAAATTAAACGTTCTCTGTAATCAGCAGCAGCATCAGCATAAGCATCTTTTTGCAAATTGTTGTGGTATCCCTTTTTGGGAACTTATGTGAATTAAATCACAAATGCAGTTGGAAACTTTTATATTTATGGAAAATAAGTGAATAATTATGAAAATGAATTGAGAATATCTATCTGCTAATGACGACAGGTTTGTGGGAGTGGCTTTCTGAGAACAGATCACAGCTGGCGGAATAATTGCGCGTTTACCTTTTAAAGAAGCGAAATGGGACAGACAAAGAGCCAATTCACTGATGAGGAGCTACAAGATTACGAAGTTAATTGCTTCAATGCATAATTAAGTAATGATTAAACAATTTTTTGTTTTTATTTATAGGACTTGACATTTTTTTCGAAAAAAGAGATACTTCTGTAAGTAATAACTAAAATCCATAATATTGCTTGACTTCACATTTCTTTGCAGTGCTCATAAAAAATTTAAAAGCCTTGCACCCGAAAAAGTTGGACACAACAAGAATGCCAAATTGTCTATGAGCAAAATATTACAATATCCAGAGTTACGCGTAAACCCTTTCGGTGATCGAATATGTAAAGTGTTTAGCTCAAGTGAAGATGGTGATATGACGTTTGAAGATTTTTTAGACATGATGAACGTATTTAGTGATGCTTGCCCAAAAAAATTAAAAGCGGAATATGCTTTTCGCATTTGGGGTAAATTATTTGAAATATAAAGGTTTTAAGTTAATGTAACATATTTCGACTTCAGATTTTGATGGTGATGATATGCTAGGTGTTTCGGACTTAAAACAAGTTATTGAACGATTATGCGGTCCAGAAAATAAATTAGATGACTGCGATATGAAAGAGATTATACACTGCATTTTAGCAGAAGCAGATTTCGATGATGATGGAGCATTGTCATTTCCGGAATTCGAGCATGTCACTGATAAGTCTAGAGACTTTCTTAAGTATGATTGATGGTATTTTGAAAATAATAAATAATTAAATTTTTCCTCCTACAGTTCTTTTCGCATAAGACTTTAATAGCACAACAAGGCAGCTGGCATATAAAAATAACATATATACATTTGTATCTTATAAAATACCCAAAGTTACACATTTATATTTAGTATGTTCCTTGTTGTTATATTTTATGTATCTATTTGGAATCTCAAATGATTTAGATTATTTACCTAAACCATTACGAACTATACTTATTTCTATGTCAGTAACATTTACGCGAATATGTGAATGTTATTACAACCATGTGATTATATAGATATATGTTGCCCATAATTCACGTATTAATTATTTGGTGATTAAATTATACAAATAACTTGAATTTGAAGTTACAAAGTATATATATGTTATTGTAAACTGCAATGAATTAATCGAATATATGTCATGAACAGTGAAACAAGATTACGATAATTAAGTACTATTATTGCCACAAGGTAATAATTTTTCCTCGGAAGTATTGTCAGTTACTGTCAAAAAATATCTCCATTCTATGTAAACCATGAGTTCATGTAGATTTATAATATAATTATACTGTTTTCAATACCATCTAATTGTGTTGCAAAAATTCGGCAAAACTATACATTAATAAAAAAATTAAAAGATGCTTGGATTTATGTACTTCCAATCTGCATTTATGGTATTGCATTGCAATCCAACTATATATGTGTAAGTGAAATTTGATAAATAAAATTTTCAATTTAACTTATACCAGTTGTTTTAAATTATTAAGTAAGAATGTACACTATAGACATAGCTTTTGGACTTCTTTATAATATTTATTTAACGTAGATCGCAAAATTGCATAAAAAAATGTTCGAGAAACCAGCCATTACCATGTTCGGTGGTTTTACTCATGGCTGCAAATAGCTGGGTAATTTCATACGCATAAATAGCCAAGTTGTGAAGAACGAAACCAGTATAAATATAAATCCCATTGCGGTTAAAAGAAATCGATTGAGATTTGTCTTTCCTGGTATATGTGTTTGGTCCATTATAATGAATCCCAGCCCTCCGATAGTGAATAGAAAACTGCTAGCCAATCCCTCCATTATATATTGACCATTTACTCGGTAAGGCATGAAAGCGACGGGCCGAGAATGTCCATGTTCATCTACCGTAGCTCCTACACTCGGTGGCTCCACAATTACATCGTATATAATTCCTAAACAGATATACACATATATAGAGAGGAAATATTTACTGTGTATACCAAGTAGGCGTTGACTATAGAGGCTGCTTACCACCGGTGACGAGAAAATACGACAGTAGCACAATGGAAAACATAACCATTGGGGAAGGTTTACGAAACCATGCCGGTCGTCGAATTTTAATATTTGGAGGCACCAAGATTTGGAAGGGTAAGCTATACAGTGTCTCAATCATATTGCAAATACTACTCGGACTTTAAAAACAGTTCACAAAATTACACTAATATGCCGGTGTTTAATGCGTTGACGTCTACATTTTGTAGAGTTGCATGGGATAAATCAATTTGACGGCGTTGAATTCAATAACATAAGTACATATGGGAAAAAGTCATAAATGAAGGTACTTACAAGGAATAAAATGAATTGTTTCAATTATATCTTTAATATTGAAATCACTAAAGATACTTGTTTCGAATCGGAAAGCGCTTTTTAGCGTTGCTTGTTTTGTTCTTAAAAGCATTTATAGAAATAAACAACTTAATAATTGTTTGCTTAAACCTTACAATACTTCTAATAAACTTCAAAAATTTAATATTAGTAGCATTTAATAAAAGTAGCAAGAAATTATATGTAAATTTTTACGCTTAGCAAAAAACAATAACATCCATGCATATTTCTAAAAACTTTTTGCTTTCAAAAATTACATTCGGTCGTATAAGCAACCCTTACAAACTTGAAAGTTACTTAAAACAAAACAAATTTTCTGACATTTTTTTATTATTCATAAAACTAGACAATATTATTTAATTATATTTACTGGGATATAAAAAAATGGACGAGTTTCGTAAATCGGATATTCCATGTATGTAAATAAAATACGCAATAAGGAATTTTGCAAATTTGTTAAATATTTTATTTTCAGTCGAAGCACTAAGCGGTCATGAGCCGTCAAAGCACGTAAAGATACCCCAGGACATAGTCAAATGGCAGCGTTCAGAAGCTTACTATGACCTTTTGGGTTTTATAAATGCTGTCAGTTATGCAATTCAAGGCAAACGCATCAATGATCCGAATATTTACATCTCACCTACGATGAAGAATGTGGTGGGCATTTTCGAAAAACTCAATAAGCTTGTTGATGAATCCCCTCCAGTTGATCAACCAACTCGCTTTGGAAACAAAGGCTATCGTGTTTGGGCTCGCAAAATGCATCGCGTGAGTATATCATCTTTTATTATACAATAACAAATTTAGATTGATGAAGAAATTGAAATCCCAAGATTATGTTCTAGGATATATTCGTATTCATGAAAGAAGCTTTGCCACAAGAGAAGTGTGATCTGTTCAGTGAACTGGGTGCATATTTGAGCGAGTCGTTTGGCAACTCTGTCCGCATCGATTACGGAACTGGTCATGAACTATCTTTTATATTCTTCCTTTGTGCGCTCTTCAAGGCTAAAATATTCACTGAAGAAGACAGCATAGCTTGCGCGCTCCTCCTGTTTAATAGCTATTTAATTTTTGTGAGAAGGCTGCAAAAGGAGTATCATTTAGAACCCGCTGGTAGTCAAGGAGTTTGGTCTCTTGATGATTTTCAATTTGTTCCTTTTATTTGGGGTAGTGCACAGTTATCTTGTGAGTAAATGCAAATAATATTTTCTACAAATTAATTTATGTTTTAAAATTTATAGTCAATAGCCCTTTCGATCCGGCGCGTTTTCTTGACGAAGACATAATAAACGAGTACAAAGACGAATATTTGTTTATCGGATGCATCGATTATATCAAACAAGTAAAAACCGGACACTTTGCGGAACATTCTAATCAGCTATGGAGTATTTCTGCAGTGCCCAGTTGGACAAAAATTAACAGTGGATTGGTGAAAATGTACCAAAAAGAGGTATGAACAATTCTATAAAGATTTATTATTCTATACATATTAAATTATCCAAACTTTTCACCTTTTTGAAAAGATTCTATCCAAATATCCGATTATGCAGCATGCACTTTTTGGCAAATTGTTAAGATTTGATCCAGTTACACCTGGAACAGCCCTGCCTGTTGCTCGTCTAGGTTTTATACATCCATCGTCTACGAAATCTTCTACGAACTCATCGAGTTCGGCTAGAAGCGGTTCTCAAATTCTAGAAACAGCAATGTATGATACCTCTACACAAAGCTTGAATAAATCTCCGAAATCATCAGAGGAGGATCAAGACAGAAACGCTAAACCCACTGATGCAGCACAAAATTCAGTATAAGCGAAAGGCAGTACCCATGGCTTCATTAAAGTGGGGATGATCCATTTATGGTATGTATAATATATAAGCAGAAAAAAATTTCATATTGGTATTATCAATCGCACAGTTTTATTGAAAAGTAAACGCTTTATATTGCAGTCTAACCGGAGATGAGCGAAATTGGGCAGGGCTCCAACTGAAAACTGCATTCACTTATTATATGAACTGCAAACAACAACAACATATACAAATTTCATATAAATAATCGTTAAATATAAATTTATTTACTCATACATCAGTATGTATGCACATATATATATATATATATATATATTTATATATTGAGTATGTCTTTTAACTTTTTTTAAATGGCGGACTCGATCTTCTAGTATTCAAATAGATACTTTGGATTTGATATTAACTTATCCCTTGCAAAAAAAATCCTTTGGTTCTCTTCAAGAGCATTCACAAATATTTGCGATATGCAAGAGTTTAATTTCGTTTGGAAAAGTGTGTGTGTGTGCACATATGCCTTTGTTTCAAGAATAGAAAATACCGTTCAGAAAGCTTTCGCAATTCAACGTAGTACCGATTTTGATCGCCAGACGTGAAGATGTATTATGCTGGCTACGCGCACGGATTTAAGGAAATATTCGGGAGTTTTTGAGTAGATTTGAGGCATTACTCGATTAGTTTTTAGTTTTCTCGCTACATCATCTGTATGTTTTGAATGAAGTGAAACACTTGAAAACCGCGGATACTGTTAAACCAGGCAAATACATATGTTTTTCTAGTTTTGAAGACCATTTTTTAAAAATAAACAAAAAGTGACGTAACTTTTGCCCTGCGACAGAAGCTTTCGCCAGCGAGAAAAATGAGAGCGTAAAAGATGCAGCAGTAATGAGAGCACTTTGAGAGAGTTTTCGTAAACATATCAATTATATATACATACGTATATTTGTTTTTATTTACTTTGTAATGTTTATAAACAAATGAAAGTCACGTGTCTAACTGAACAGAATTAATCGTATTAAATCGAAGAACTAATGCCAATTCATCTACTTGTATACATAAATGAGTGAGAAATACCGGGTGCTATTTGAAACCGGCCTACGTACATACATTGTATTTATTGAGAACCCTTAGAATTCGTTAATTTTGAAAATGTCTAAAAAGTGTGGCGTTCGGTCGCTGAGCGACAGTGCCTTGGCCGAACTGGCTAACCAGATTGTTTCGACGATCGGCTACGCCAAGTATGCTCCTGACGTTGTGCTGGACATCGATATTGTGATGGTGGACATCAATCAATATCTCGAGCAGACCGGCGCCACTTGGAACATATATCAAGACCTGCTGCGGGTCATACTCAGCTCCGACTACCTGGATGCCAACATGCGTTTCACTTGTTTGCAAATGCTACTTAACGGCAGTGTATCGCTTTTGGTCACCGAAGTCTTCCCCTTCTCGTATTATGAGAAAATTCTGCAAGTGATTGCCGCCCAGGGCACCGGATTGCGTGTGCTCAATTTGAAGGGGGTGTGGGTCAAGGAGGAGCACATGCATTACCTCTTTGAAATCGTGCGCAAATGCAAGTATTTGACGAAGTTGTTTGTACCATATATTGCCAACGATGATCTGCTGGAGGTGATCGCCAAACACTGCAGTCAACTGAAAGTGTTGGACATATCCGGTGAGACAGATATCACCGAAATCGGCATAGAGTCGCTCAGTCACGGTATGTGCAATGATAAGTTAACGGTTGTGGACGTTGGTATGCCAGGCGAGGAGAATATCTGCTATTCAGATATAGCGCTAATATTGGAGCACTGCCCTAATGTGGAGACGCTTTCCACCTACTCGTTTGTGGGCGCTTCGCTGAAGTTCGTGCATGATAATATTGACGAGAACTTTACTTGCAAGCTGCGCTATTTACATGACACTGGCACGGACGAAGAGACGCTACGTGTTATTATGAAGACTTGTCCGCACTTGGAATCCCTATATCTGGACACACCGAAAGCCGGCTCACTTTCTGTGCTTACGAGCACATTTCTAAGAAAACTGAAAGTCTATAAATTTTCATGCGCTGAAGTAATGGATGTACTCGACAGAATCGGACACAATCTCAGCCACCTGACTATGATAAAGGGTGTTGGCCATATGGAAATAAGCGAAATAGTTCGTGCCTGTCCTTTGCTGGTCGACTTAGACTGCTATATGATGGATGGACTCTCCTATACAAAGGACAGCAATCGGTTTGAATGCTTAGAGGGCTTGGAAATGCTCAGCAGCCCCATGTCCAACACTTCGCTGAAGATGCTCATCTGCAGTTGCAGGCAATTGAAACGGTTGGCCGTGGACAGCATCAATTTCACGGATGAAGATATCATTAAGTAAGTACAATGCTTCGTAAGTACGAAAGCATAGTCATACTATTTTGGAGTGTCTGCGTGTTTGGTGTACCGAGTGTTAGGTTTTCCATTTATTTATTGCTTTTATGGTTGTACGCGTGCGCCTAAATGTATGCTGTATATGCACTTTGAGTGTTTGATTTGCATTTCTCTTTAACTGTTAGTTTCCTGGTTTACTATTTTTGGGACCACCTTAAAACGTAGCCTGCATAAAGTGTTTGATTGGCCGCCAGACTTTTGAAGGGATAACTATAGTTACTACTTCTACATACATATGTGGATCTAATCTATTTATCCGTATACATACATATTTACATTTCAGTATTTTCGTGGAGCACGATTTCTATGCACTGGAGGATGTCTGGTTCACATTGGCGCCGAATTTGACCGTGCAATCCATTGAGGTATTCAAGTTCGCATGCCGGGCGGCGTACTTATGTATTTGTATCTGTTAATTGTGGTTTTTCGTGCAGATTCTCATGGACCGGTGTCCGGAATTGCAATCGGTGGGTCAGTTAAGTGGCTGGTCTTTGACTCCCGATGACTTGGCGTTGATACGTGGACTGTTGAAGAGCGGCAACTCTTGCCTTGTACTTACACCTAGCGGGTTTTTCCCTTGAAAGCTGTGATTTTAAGCGTTTCACATTAACTCTCATACATAAACATGCCTACAAATAAGAAAGCAAATACTCACCCAGTCGTTCACATCCATGATTTAGCGAAAATCTGCAGTCGCGGGAAAGTATAAAAAAGTAATTTTGGATTTTTCATTTTCAAATTCTCGCCTTTTGTAGCTTTGACAATCCTCCTGAAATTGCGAAAACACGTGTGTTTATGTTTATTTACTTAAGTGTGGTTACATAATTGATTGATTTTGAAACTTTGCACAGTTTTTTCTGCGACTACAGATTAACGCCTAATCCTCCCGGTACTAATAATACTTTAAATAGTTATTTTTTTTCTTGCTTTGTTGTTTTTTATTTTATTTTCACTATATGTATGTGTATGTGTGTGCATAAATCTGTGAATGTGAAAAACTAACAACTTTGCCATTTATGTATGCATGTATTAGTGTTGACGACATTGCTTTCCACGAATCGAAACATCTCAGTGCTTACAAACGAGCCGCAAAAGAACACACCATAACTATGTTTTGCTTCAATTGAAATTTCCATGATTTTTATACTTTCGCAAGAGTGTAAACTCTTTTTCACCTCACGAGTATTTGTAATGCCTCAAGCGGAACTATTATAACCCTGTATATATCAAAATTGCCACGATCAGTCTGTCTGTATCTGCATGGATAACTTTGCAGGCCACTCCATTATTTCACATTCTTTCAATTGGTAAAAGTTGCGAGAGTATCTGAAGTTTGGCTGCGTCTGAAACGAGATCTAATTTGTTATTAACGTCATTTATTACAGTCACTAATGAAGCCCAGATTCTTCATGGCGTATCTAACCCGGTTAGCTTGAGAAATAAAGCATTCAAAATTCACTTTCGCTTGCATTTCTGAAACCCTTATTTTGTAACATAGTGTTAATGCAACTAACCGTTTTTTTCTATTTACTTATCCCTTTCAGCGCTTGCAGTGAAGCCTTTGGAAAACGAGCGATTTCTTGACTCGACTACATCGATCGGACGTACCTATGTATGTGCTTTGAATTATTTGAAAATGTGATAGTAAGATAAAATAAATGTCCGTGTTGATAAAAAGTGTAAAAAAAACATATTAAAAACAATTGATATTTATAAAATTTATTGAATAGAGGCACACATTCAGAAGCGTAATGACTTTAGCTGCTTGACGGCAACCACTTTAACCCTGGCGCTCAAAGCATAGTGGATCAAATCAATGCGTTGATCAACGCGCCGAGAATGCGAAACATTATTCGTTGCCAAATGGTAGTGTGGTATGGAAACGGTAACCTCAGTTATGTTAGAGACCCATCTGAAATCCTTGCTTTGGGCCGTCACCCGGTTGCAATGCACATCGAATTGTCACCAGGTAAGCTCTGCCCGCAGATGGTTATTTAACCAAAGTCTTCACGATCCTCTGCGAAAGGCCGTGCCAAATGAGATGACTGCTCCTCATGGTAACAGAATTAAGTCTCCGGTCCGACCTCGTGTTCGAAACTACTACCAGTAGAGTTTTTATACGGTATATATAATATCTATATCTTTGGAAAACGGGTTTTCCAGACGGGAAAATATTATCTTGACTGAGCTGAAAGTCAATTGTAAATTGCCGGTTCCAGAAATTTTCGTTTTTTTTTTTGTAATTTTTCATCGGAAAAAATTAGAGACATTTCAAAGTGATGCATATGTGATTGCACCCACTATTCGGCAGCCACAGATCTTCTGAAGTTGACATTTATTGTTGTTGGTAGAGTGTGCATATGGGACAGAAACTGAGAAGCCTCAGGATTCCATTTTTATTTCATGTATCAGCTTTAAAGCTTAAAAATGTCAGCAAGCGGTTTAAGGAACTCGCACACATATACACATGCGTTATAATAAATGTGTGAATGTTTGTAGGGACATGTAAGAGCTTGCGCTCGGAGAAGATAACGCTACAGTTTGTATTTGAGTTTAAGAAGCGAGTGCAGTCGATGGACGGCCGACCGTGCAGGGAAACAGTGCACGCCGAAGAGGGAAATTCAACGGCGTATCGCAATTGGTGGGCTGCTTATGTTGAACGCAGGTAAATAACTATATTTTGTTAATGCCACATGTGTTTGCTTCTATAAGATAAAACAAAAAATCATTTGCTTGACTGGCGTGACGCGCGTTGTGTTTGAGCATGCATACGTGCGTTCAATAAATGTTTTGCGCAGCAGTGTTTGTCCACTGGCCGCTTCCTTTCGCTGTGTGATGAATATTCTAGTTGTTATTGTTTTTAACGCTTTACCGGCACTTGCGTCCGCGTCGATAGTCAAGCGACCGCGGCAGAAACCTCTGTAACTGTAACTGTTGTCGGCATTCAAGCGTAAGCGCTCCAGCACATGCTGCAATAGTTTATGACAACCATTCCCATATATTCGTACATATTGCTGACATCACAGCCGCTATTATTATCCTTACTCAAATGAATATAAATACATATGTGCGTATGAGTATGTGGCTTTGTGGAGAAGCTGTTGCTTCCGAGAGTGTGTGTATGGGACGTGAACCGTGCGAAATTTATGGTTGAATGCAGTCCGCGTTGGAAAGTTAGGGAAGCTTCTTCGCCAAGCGTTTGCTGTTTGGGAATGGGCTAAAAAGACTGGGTCACTCGTTTCTTTTCCTTTAGTTTAGACAGTTTTCCAATACGAATCCTTGCTTCTGGTTTCAAGCCGCGTACTCTGAATTCAAGTTTATCTAAAACGGACTATCGCTATTTAACAGAGCGACGACCTCATACAGCTGATCAATAAGTACAATGTGGAACAATTTCAAACTTATTATTGTTGTTATGATAGTGTCAAATATTCCGCAAATAATTTTAAGGAAAGCTGATGAGGTGAGAGTAGTTGGCCAGATACATATCCCGATTCGTTTTGATTTTGACCGACCCAACGTTGAAACGTTTAAATTGGCTTAAACGCTACATGCCGTCATTCTATCATATATTAGGCTAAAGAAAGAGGTTAACACATTCAAATATATACTTGCATTACAATAAACGTTGCACAGTAAAGTTATCTCTGCAAAATTCCGCGTTGGTCACCAGACAATATTGGTTGCTAGTTGGTATCTGTTGTAGTCTGCAATGTTGCTGCTGAAAGAGTTAAGCTGACAGTAGTACACATTTACCGCAACGCGGTTGGCATGTTGGAAGAACTAAAGAAGAAGGACAGCGAACACGATCCATATAGGCCAGTAAGCTTACGCATAAGTCGTTGCATATACACGTTTCCATATATTATATATTTTGCATTGGTCCTTTTGAAGCAAAAGGCCGAATATTTAACAAAATTCAATGTGTTACATAATGCGAATAAAGGAAACGTGTTTTCTTCTTTTGAAGCAAGTTTTCGTGAAGCGCAGAGATCGTCCATTAGCTATGTGTGTTTGTACACGTTCAGTTCGTCAAACCGCACAGAACTCCTTATGCGAGTTGAAGGCAATGATGCACTGCCACCGCGATTATTAATTCCTCTTCATGCAAGCCCGTGCAGAACAACACAATGAAACCGGCGCTTATCGGCGCTTTCCGCCACAATTACTTCTGACACATTTGCATTCACAATTTCGCAATGCCACAGCCACAATGCCACACTACCCAGCCACAATGATGCAAACGGCCAGCTCTGGCAAGCACATTGTCATCCACACCGGTTTCAACAGCGCCAACAACTTACCCGAAGCATGTCAGCCTTAATTACTCTACATCACTTTGACACTTCTGAAGCGCGCGCTGACAATGCAACGAGGAGAATGACGTTAATGATGAGAACTTCTGCAGGCGGCTTTTGTAAGCTGCATAACGGATAGAAATGACATAGCGCTTTATTCCGCTTCATGTCTGTTGATCAATGCAAGCAAATTGCTGCTCAATTTAAATGGCGGAACCGGCAAGGAAGTGCTTTGGTGCCAACTTAATATGAGCAGAGCGGCACACATACGCATAAACACTTATCTTCGTTGCGCCTATCAAAAGTCTAAATCATATCAAAACATTTCAAAAAGTAGAAAGCGCTACAATTGCTTTGCGTTTCGGAGAGCACATTCCTTGAGCGCGCTTGCTCGTCCTTGGTTGGAGTTCTGACCTTCAGTTCAATTGGCTGCGAATAAGTGTGTCACATATTTGTTTTCCAAATTGCAGCCAAATTTGCATTTTTGTGAGCGTGTATGCATTTATGAGCCACGTCGTGCACTCGCCTCTGCACCGCGCTTCCGCCATCGGAAGCTGCCCGCTTTATCGTGGTGATAATGTGCATGTCCGTCCATTAAAATTCATGTCGTACTCTTGCTGTCTATTTCTGTGTGCCAATATCCCTGTGTGTATGTGTGTGTGCTGACTAGAGTAAGCTTTCGCATGAAATTAAATTTCGCTTAATGATGCCGTTGTCGGCGAACAATGATGGCAATGACAGCGGCAACAACAAAGTCAGGCACCACAGTTGTTGTTGGCATATGCATGTTTGTGTGAATGTGGCCACCCATTTAGAAGTATATTATTTTATTGCTTAATAGCTTGTCATTTAATTTTAATGCATTTCATTTCTCCGCGCTTGATGACACTCTCGCGTACGCACGAGAATGCAACTTCTCCGGCTATCGTCCCGATGGCTTTTGCTATGTGTTATTGGTCATTAAGAATAATCGCTGTGTTAGAAAATCTAATAAAAGAGTGATTGCAAAGTGAAGAAAAAGTTGTTAAAGTAAGGACGACCCACAAGAGTGGGTTGACAAGTTCATACATTTCTAAACTCCTCCATGATAGTCTCAAATGCAACATTGCCGAAAATAATCATTTTCCAAAAGCAAGCAGTGTTTGACATATAAGTATCAAGTCTTTATGTATTCAATTCGTTTTATCATTAGAATCTTTCCTCCGATTGATTTGGGGCTCAAAGATTTTCAGACGTGTTCTCATGATGATAATCGAAGAGCTTTCAGATAAAGCTTCTTTAGTAGTGGTGACGTGCACCACGAAAGCGGTATTAATAAAACGTTATAAATCTAGGTTAATTGCTAATTTATTGATATTATTTGCGTAGTATTTATATTTATTAATCGTGGAGTTTTTTTGTGCAGTTCTCGTTACGTAGAGAGTATGCGTAGAGTGGCTGATAGATATAAATGTCCACACTTTTTCTTGAATCAATGAAATGTTGGCTGGCAAGATGAAAAGAAAACTGAGATTTGGCATTATGGTGAATTGCTTTTGAGTTTGCATTTTTAATTTAATGGCTATTCAAAGAGGGGTCTTTGAATACAATGCGAGAATGGAATGCAATTAATTACGCAATAATTTCATTAATGAAAATGTTTATTACAAGTTAAATAAGCTCCAGCCAAGCGGAATCGCGCCTACAATAAGAACAGTAACACAAACAAAAATAACGGCGAAATACTTGTATTTGAAAGCAAAAAGAAAATTCGGGCAGTTTTTTTCGAATTTAAATTATATGCGCTTGCTATGCATTTTTACCAAAAAACTGTAAACAATATATTTTTTTGTAAAATTTGTGCGTATCAACAAAGAACCAACAGAAAAAAATCGGAAAGCTGCTCTTCCAACGGGAGGCGTTTTTTCTTACTTTTTATATGCATTTTAATGAAGATTCTTTTCAACTTCCAATAACCGGTGATATTCATATTTGCATTACTTGTGCATACGTGAGATTATAGTAACGCTTCCATTAAGAAGTTTCAACATCACGCATATAACTTTTTCCATTGTCTTGCATATAACTGTAAAAGCATAAAAAAGTGCGCTCCAAGCGGAAATCGGGCAAATCATGTTAGCAAAGTAGGTTATCGAGCACCGTTGACGCACAACATAACGGAAAAAGCGGTGAAAAGAAAAAGAAAAATGCATTTGTTAAAAATTGTTTACGAAGCTGTCGTTTTGTCGATGAGTTGTAATCGCTTATACTCGAAAATTTATCTAAATATGTATAAAAATATATTCCTACATACATATAAATACGCGCGGAAATGGAAAGTTCGCATTGCAAAGTTGAACATTTGCTGTTGTAGTTGTTGTGCCATAAACCACTTACCCACAAGTTCAAATAGT